GGTCAAATCCACCTTGTGTTTGAACACAAGTAATAGCTCCTGCATACATATCTTTAATGAATTTGAATATAAGCATTATTGACTTCTTCTTATCAAGAACTCTCCATAGCACTTCTCTGGAACTTTATCATATGCTTTTTCTAAATCAATAAATATCATATTGTAATCCTCCTTATTTCCTCTATAATTTTTTCCATCAAACCTCTGAATAAATGTATGGCTTCCATAGTCGACCTACCCGGCATAAATCCATAATTGATTTTGAGAAACATTAGTATCACGCCGCCAACCTATGCTCTATAACTCGCTCCCATAATTTTAAAGTATGACACATTAACTTAATACCTCTATAATTCGGATGCAATCCTGTGCATCGCCTTTATTCTTAAAAATTAGGAATTAATACACTCATTCTCCACTCATCTGGCATCTTTTAGTCTTCAAAATAGTATTAAAAAGTTTAGTAAGCCATAGAAATCCCTTCATCTCCTAAGCATTTCCACACCTCTATTGGAATATCATCAAGGTCCAACAGCTTTTCCACCCTTCATTTCCTATTTTAAAGCCTCCCTTAACTTCAGTTTTACTAATACGCCGATAAAAAACAGAAATCTTTACTTTCATTTAGGGTGCTAAGGTCACTATAGTCAATCTTATTTTCACACTCTTCATTAAAAAGTTTAGCAAAATATCTCATCCACCTTTGTTGAATATCATCTTCTAAGAAAAATATTTTTTTTATCTTCATCCTTAATACACTTCACTTGAACTAAATCCTTACTACTCCTATCTCTTTGTTTTGGCTAAACTTATACATATATCTTTCTCCCTCCTTTAGTATTTAATCTATTATATAAATCGCTAAAAGCCTAATGTCTTTGCATCGCATATTGCTTTCTTAGAATCCTTACGAGCCACTTTTATATAATTCCCAATTATCAGAATTTTTAAAATTAAACCAATTTTTATAACAAACTTCTATTTTTAATCTTTTCTATGCACATTGGATTCCCACCACCAACTATTTTACTATAGGAGTTTTCCCTTGATACTCCAAGCACATCTTTTGCAATATTCTTAATATCACTAGCCACTTTTTTCCACATAACATTAGCATCCTCATGCACAGACAAAATCTTAAGATCTAAAAATCTTACTCACAAAAAATATTTTGGTTAATATTTCTTTAAATGCCCCATCTAATCCTCGAAAAACGTTTTACTTTATTTTTTATTTTATGCCCCTTTATCTTAAAGTCCAAAACTAATAATCGATGTTGGGTACATAAACTTTCACTCGTAAAACTTACAATCTTTTGCAATCTAAACGGTTTAATTTTTCTAATAAGAAAATAGTCAATCTGGTTGTACTACAATCCATTTTTATAAGTGATGAGATGCTCATTCCTTTTCTTAAATAAGGTATTAGCAATTGAAAAATCATAAGCTAAAAAAAAATCTAATATGGTCTTGCACCTTCATTCGTCGTTCCAAATCCATGGCCACCATGAATGCTTTTTAAAATCAACTACCTCTTTACCAACATGTCCATTTAAATCTCCTCCAATAAAAACTCTTTCTTAAGAGTATATTTTGTTATTAATTCTTCTAAGTCATTCCAAAAATTTAATTTAGAACTTATATCCAAACCTACCTGAGGAGCATAAGCACTTATAATATTAACAATCTTATCCTCAACAACAATTTTTAAAGCTATAATCTCATCACCAATCCTATTAATTTTTATAACATTATCCTTTAAACTCTTATCTATAATGACACCTAACCATTTCTAGTACGACTCCTACCCGAATACCAAAGTTTAAATCCTAAACTATCGATTTCCTTTGGCCTCTTCCTCCAAACCCACTTTAGTTTCCTGAATGCATAAAATATTTAATTCCTATGAATCATAATATTCTATTAACTCCATTAATTTACCTGTAAGGGAACCTATATTCCAAGTTCTATCCTAATTTTAGTATCATGGACTAGCTCTCTTTGCCCCACATCCGTCCTTGATGCGGGAACCCTTGCCTATTTAACACGCACCCGGGCGCCGTGCAGCGGCCCTTGCACACTTGTCACTGTATTCAGGCCATTACAGCGCGTCGCTTCCAGGGGACGGCCCTAGCATTAACACAATTTCTAAAAGATTCATGTCATTTTTTGTTCGACAAGTTTTACCTGGCTGTCGACTACCTAACGCAACCCTCCACTTTTCTCATCCCAGGAACTGGGACCTGGCACGGCAGTGTTAACATTAGCATCCTCATGCATAGACAAAATTCTTAAGATCTAAAATCTTATTCTCAAAAATATTTTTGTAAATATTATTTAAATGCCCCATTCTAATCCTAGAAAATTGTTTTACTGTATTTTTATTTTATGCTCCTTTATGTTAAAGTCTAAAACTAATAATCGATGTGGGTACATAAATTTTCGCTCAGAATAACTTTACAATCTTTGTTAATTTAAACAATTTAATTTTTCTAATAAGAAAATAGTCAATCTGGGTTGTATTATATCCATTTTTATAAGTGATGAGATGCTTATTCCTTTTCTTAAATAAGGTATTAGTAATTAAAAAATTATAACTAAAAAAAAATCCAATATGGTCTTGCCACCTTCATTTGTCGTTCCAAATCCATGGCCACCATGAATGCTTTTAAAATCATCTACCTCTCTACCAACATGTCCATTTAAATCTCCTCCAATAAAAACTCTTTCTTTAAGATATATCTTTTGTATTAATTCTTCTAAGTCATTATAGGTCCCAAGTCCTGGATGAGAAAAGTGGAGGGTTGCGTTAGGTAGTCGACAGCCAGCGTAAAACTTGTCGAACAATAATGTATACAATTGAAAAAATATAAAAAAAAAATTGGACACATGTCTAACACTGGTGCCAAAAATATTTTATATATATATTTTTGAAATATAATTCATCAAATTTCAAATTTTTATTTAGTAAAAAAATAAGAATTAAATTTCTTTTCTTCCTCTCCAAACCTCCAAATCAATCGCCCGCACTTAATTATGCATTCCTTGAATATTCTCATTTTTATTTCTCTATGTCATGTTGTGGCTAGAGTTTCACAACAAAGCTTAATGTCGTCTCAATATTGACGTCCAATGTTGTCACAACATCAATATTTCAAAATTATCTCACCATTAAAGTCTATGTTGGCATTGACGCCAAACACCAGCAATTTCTACACCAACAATCACCATTGTATAATCTCAACATCTCAACTTTGTCCAATTATGTCTTAACACCAACAACAAACGTCATCTCAAGATTGATGACCAATGTCATCATGACATCAATGTTCGATGCCCATTACACAACAACGATGCACAACCGTCAAGAGCATTATGTCACCTCTCCCAATGGCTAACACGTATTGACACCCGACTCTCGACATCCTAATATTAGTCATTTTAACTACAAATCCTAAACTTAGTATTTCTCAATTATTATATTTTTTTATTCAATTTTTATACACTATTTTTAAGATATAAAAATTATAATATTATCTCAATGTCCTATATTTTCAATAATTAACATGCTCCGTATTTGTGTCATGTCCATGTCTGTGCATCATGGGAGAATGTATATAAGAAACCAAAACAAACCAAAAAGTAAGTTATCAACCATAAGGACAATGGCTTACCAAGATTTTTAGCAAAGAAAAACAAGGAAGAAGAGAAGAGAATATTGAGAATAGATTTCTACACAAAGTATGGAATGAGAAGAGGGTGAAAAAGTGGAGGAACATCAAAACAAAACTACTATGCTTGCAAACAAAATGAAAACTTAAAAAGAGAAGGGAATATGTAGATGAGAGCTACAACATCACAAAATATGAAATAGGGAGGAGAAGAGAGAGATAAAAAGATCAATATGTCTCAGACATTTTATTGGAAAAATAGAGTAATAAAGATGTTTATTTGTAATTCCGTTTAAAAAAATAACAAAAGGAAAAAATAGAAGGAAAAAAAGCCAAAAAAGATGTTCCAAAAAATAATAATAATAAATTGTGCTTAATCTCAATGCAACCTTCTCGCTTTGTCGAAAACTTCATCATCAACACCCTCATGCCTAAGATATAATGCGAAGTAGCTTGGCTACACCATGAAGATTTAACTACCCCTGAAACTTGTATTTGCATTCATTTAAAAAGGCAAAAAATATACAAGAAGATACAAGCATATATGGAGATCTATGTGAGTCCTCCAGCAAAATAAAAAAAAGGTGTGTAAAGAGCAGTAATAACAATATCTTTCCACATCAAAATGGAAAAAAACTAGCACAAAAATTACATACGCAAGCAAGGCAGTAATGATAGTTTCTTACAAATTTCAAATTAATAGTATTCTTACAAGAGAATTTCATAAACAGTGGGAAAAAAATCTAGTAAAATTCTCAAGGATTTCATCCTACTATCAACTACCACTTACCACCTAAACCTCCTCTACTTATTAGTCAACCTCCACCTTTCAAAATATCTCCACCTCTCAAAATATCTCCACCTCCATCGTTGTCTCTAACTCATTCCGCATACCCTGTATAATACCCTAGCAGCTCACCTTGGTTCGTAGTTTGGCCACTCTCATCTGGACCTAAAGAATAAATTCTTCTTTTAGCATGTTCTATTAAAACCAACCCTAGATCACCGTAAGCTCTAAATTTCCTGACCAGGGCTTGATCAGGACTCTAAAAGCAAAAAACTGGAACCAAGCAGGGAATGAGTAGGGAAGTCATGCTAACAATCTAAGCTACAATATTCTTGAGCTAAGTTCAGCTCACCAATTCAAATTCCATACACATTTGAAGTTAGTGAAGCTTCACGGTTCTGCTATTAATTAAACTACCATGAGGATCAATTCATGGATTTACAATTAAGTTCACAATTGAACAATAATTAAACAAGTACTATATGAGAATAGTAGCCTTATGCAACTAACATGCAAGAAGAAATTTTTTTTGGTAATTCTCACCAGAAGCATAAATGTCCTCATCTTCAACATCAAGGTCCTCTAATGCCCCAATCCCAAAGCCAGGGGCATATTTTCCTGCTGATGATTGAGTGAAAGGTTAAGTGAAAAGTTCAGGAAAAAACAAGGAATACTTAGTACAGAGATGCATGATATTACTGTTCAAAGTCAAAAAAGAAAAGAGAAGCTATTTTCTGGTGAACAGTTGAATCTAGGAACAGCTTACAGTTTGGACCTAAATGATTTCCCTTCATTGAAACCCCTGTTTTGACAACCTGATTATTTCTGGATTCATGCAACATTTTTCTCTCTGAGGACAATGAAAGAAAGTTAACGAACAGAAACATTTCAACAGATATTAACTGTGTTAGAACAACTTTTAACCGCTCCAAGAGCTTTCAATCACCTTTAAATTCAGGAGCATGCTTGAAAGGATCATAACCCAAGCCATACAAGTCCTGCTTTGGATTGAGTACATAAGCCTAAAACAAGGGAATTCGGGTAAGAAATGTTTTTCATAGACAATAAGAAAGATCAAAATCCATTTTACCGTAGGCAAAAATCATTCCACAAAAAATAAAATAGCCTAGACAGTTACTTTACCAACAAGAATAAAACATATTAGATCGTTGAAATGGAAAAAAAAAAGAGCAACCAAATGGCAGAAAAAGGATGGTACTAGAGTGATACTATTAGTATGGTACAAAGCCAACTTAATATGCATGATTTTGGGACAAGAGGCAAAACTTAACATCTTATATGCAAATCGAATAGAAACTGACATCCTTGTCCCCATGGGCTGGAGAAGTACAAATTTCCTTCATGGTCACTAGTATTTTGAATACAGTCCTAACATCATATCCACATCCTTTACTCCAAAGCAAACTTCTTATCAAGCCACAAAGTAACAATTAAGAAAGAGTATGGAAAACTATACAGAAAAGAGAATAGTATCAGGACAAAGTCTTTAAAAAACTTAATGAAGAAGCCTTACAAATCATTTCAAATTCTAAAGAGGATGATTTAGGAGCTTGTGATCAGCTAAATCAAGTTCTCAGAAGCTTACCTAATCATGGAAATCATAAAATATAACCTCTTGTAAACATACTCAACAAAATCTTGAAGCATACCAAAGTAGTGATGTGCATAAACTACACATGTAAATTTGGAAGAGTGAAACAGAAGTTTTAAGTTCACATGAATATTAAGATTTTACACAATGATACCAATCGGCGCCATGCCCAAAATTCATTGAAACATAAAGTTCTTTATTTAAAAGTAAAAGAAAATGATTCAGATATGTGCTTGGGGAAAATGCAAGGCAATAAAAAAGTAACGAATAAATTACTCACATGGGTACTATGCGATGAAAAGAGAACATCATTGTCCATTATGGTGGAATCTCCAGTATCATGTTGACTGAATTCAGCATGTGAGAGGTTATTTCCTCCAACATTACCAGAAAAAGCAAGTAAAGCCTTTCTGGCTTCCCTGCGAGCATCTAAAAGAAAAAAAAAATTCAACATTCGAATCTCAGCCTAAATCCAAGACAACTATGCTACAACGATAATCACAATAAAAAAAGTAAATGATAGAAAATACAGCTTGAATTGATTGAATTATTGCAAAAAGAAATCATAACATCCAGCAAGAACAGAATAAACAAATGATGGCGCACATTAAACCAAATGACAAATTAAAATACCTAACAAATCTTTTATGAAAAACATAAAAAGAGTATAAGAAAATCCACACCATGTAGTGAACTAGCTTGAGTATCCTTGATTGAATAACCCCAGCGCCATCCCATTTTTAACAACAGCTTGGTTCCTACAAACCAATTGAAAAACATGAATTGAAATAGAAACAATAAAGCGTAGCCCTAAAAAAATATCGTGATGGTGCTAAAAACAGAAACAAACCTACAGAGCTTGATGCAGGGACAACTATTTCATCAGGAACAGGACCAGGAATTGTCGAAGGCCTGCAAAACAACAACAAAAACAAAATAGATGAAAAACAAATATGCAAAGCATCATATGAGTTTTAATAGAGAAGCTTAACTAATACATGAGAGGACTTAATATTCTCCAACATCAACATCATTAACCTTATCTCAACTACCTTGTTAAATGTTAACATCAACATTCACCATTAACCTTAGAGTTGCACAAAAAGTTCATTGCGCAAAAATCATTTACAATTCATAATCATGTAGCCTTTCGTCTAATCTGCTCCTAATCATATAGCCTTTCATTTCATCTACCCATCTCATTGATGCATCATTGACTTCCATTACAGAATCCCAAACTACCAATTATAATTTTCAAAAGATATTTAATAAATGGGTGCACTCCTATCATCTCTATAATGTAATCATTTTCGTTCTATTATTCCTAATTTTACCACACATTCACTTTAACATTTTCTTTGTTGTCACACTCAACTTGCAAACAGTGAATTCTTGAAAGCCCAAATAAGGACATCGTTTTTTTTTAAATAAGGCAAGTCCACATACCCACAAAAGCCAAGGACAGAAAAATGAAGAAACCATCAACATAGAGTTTCTTTTCTCTTGCCAAAAAATCAAAAGCAACTATAGAAAATTGATATATTATAATATGAGACCTCACCAATGCCCATAATCTGGTTTTCTTTCAATTTTGTGAATACTTATCCTATTTTTGTTTAATATGATTCAAAAACCTCATCCTACAAGAACATATAAAATAATCATTACAAGTTCATCAACGAAACATTTTTATAACACAACAAATAATTTAGCTCTCTGATAAAGATCTAGAAGTATATATGTTTGGAAAGCACAGTGCAGATGAATTCTAATAACAAGCAAGGCAGATAAATTCTAATAACCTTATTTGTTGACTAACTTAATATGTCGACAATTAAGATAGAATGTTATGCCTGTACCAAATACAAGTCAAAAAATTACTAATGGAAAGCACGAAGAAAATATATTCTATGTTAAAGCCGGAGTATTATATGCTTGACTAACTCAAGATTTGGAACTAGAATTTAATTATTGGTTTTCTAAATGTTTCTGAGTTTTAATATCTCTAGTTAAGAATCCAACAGCACAAAAAAGTGAGTAGGACCTAAACTTCAAACTAGGAGCTCTTGATGGATCATAAATATAAAAAAATAAAAGGATTGCAGCAGTTATAAAATAAGATCATCAACATTACATGAAACACACGCATCATCACTATTACCAATAGCTTTATCCCAATTATTTGCAAGCGGCTTTATGAATCTTCATTTATCATTCATTCATCCAAAGTGTTGCTTAAGTTTTAAACCTACCCTTTACAAATCATTTTGAACAATCTTATCCATGTCTCATGTCTACCATTTTCCTTCTTAATCCTCTAACACAAATTTAATCTACTCAACTACTAGGTGCATTTGCTCTCATTCATTATAGCGTCCAAACCATTTAAGTATATTTTACCTATATTATCTTCAATCGAAGTCTCTCTAATCATTCATCTCATATAAACATTCATTAATTTATCATTTTGGCAGTACATCTATTTTAGCATCCTCATTTTCACCACACTAAACATAACCATTAATTTTTTTCTTTTTTTACTATCTAAACTTTGTATCCTTATAACATAGTACATCTAATTATAATTTTATGAAATTTACTTTCAAGCTTTATGGTGCCGAATGTTGACCATTAAAAGAGAAGCATAATACTAAGTTAAGTGTTGCGGAGATGAGGATGCTTAAGTGAATGAGTAGCTTTACCCTTAGAGATAGGATACAAAATGAGCATATACGTGAAAATGTTGGAGTAGCTCCTGTGGAAGATAATATTTAGAGAGAGTCACCTTAGATGGTTTGGTCAAATAAAATGGCGGCCTTCCGATGACCCGGTTAAGAAAGTAGATGTATTAGATTTGACTTATGTTAAGATAGATAGAGGTAGACTTAAAAAGACTTGGTTAGAAAATATTAGAAATGATATTTCTTTATTAGATTTAAACAAGAATTTGACTCGTAACATGACACAATGGAGAAAAAGGATTCATGTAGATGATCCCACGTATTGGGACAAAGGCTTGATGTTGTTGTTGTTGTTGTTCTCCATAGTATCGTTCTACCGCATAATACTCTTGATCACCTTGACTCTTTTAAGTTATGCCTCATTTATACCCTCCTCCTTTTGTATAATACATCCAGTACGCTTAAACCTATACATCTTGTTATCACTATATTTTCTAATAATACTAACCAATAATCGTTAATTTAACACCCACTCAAATTGCATATAATAAGTCTTTATTTTACTAACTTTATGCCATTTATCTTCTAAACATTATTTACACTGTTATTACATTTCATATATTTTAGTATATATATATTCCACCAATTAGAATAAATACCAACTACAAAAAACATACACCAAGGAAGCTAACTTTGGAAATACATTGTAAGCATCTCCATAACTGATCTGAAAAGATATGAAATCAATTTTAATCATTGATGTAATCCTGCTATAATTGAAAATTCAATTATCACCCACAACTGCTCATAGTAATTAACAATCCATCATATTGAATAATTCTGACATGTTTCTGACACATTCCTTTCCTCCTTAAGGTACAACAAATCAATTCTTGGGGCACTCAATCATATATTCCTTCACAACTGCTCATAGTAATTAACAATCCATCATATAGAATAATTCTGACATGTTTCTGACACATTCCTTTCCTCCTTAAGGTACAACAAATCAATTCTTGGGTCACTCAATCATATATGCCTTCTTAAAATTAATAAAAGCCATATAATTCTATATCTACTCTATGTTTCTAGATGAATTGTCTTGACACAAAACTCGTTTTTATAATTGATTTCCTGGCATTAAATCAAATTTATTCATTGAAAATATATGTAATTTTCCTTAGTCTATATTTCATTATTCTTTCTTCTTCTTATAGCTTCATTGTATAATTTAATTCCTTTCTAATTAGCATAATATAAACATCACCTTTGTTCTTAAGTAGATGTACCAAAATATTTGCTTCGCTGATCATTTGGCAACTTTTATCTTCAACATTCAGTCAAAATATTTGATAAATTAACCATGCAATATTCGTCATATTTCTCCAAATCTCAATAGCTATCTCATATAAACCAACAGATTGACCCTTAGGGCTCTTCAGAAAAGTTAGTTCTCCTTCACTTCTTTCATTCAAATTATAATATGCCTCTTCCAAAAATAATTTTATCTCAAATTTTCAATTTGATAATTACTTGATATTTTTCATATTTAACTAGAATCCAACTATTTTTGTTTCTAATGACATAGCATGATCAAAGTTTCTAGATCTTTTCTCTCTCCTATAAATTATTTATAAATCCCCTTTTCTCTTTCTTGTATAAAGTTTATTATATAAATCATCAAAAGTTATAACCTTTGCTTTCTTTTTATAATGTTTTTGAGTTTATAGTAATCCTTATAAACTTTAATATTGTTTAAAATTTATTACCATTTAAAACAACAGAATTTTCATTAATAACCTTTTATAGATCCTCACTCCACTAAGTTTCCTTATTAAAGTGCAATATATTTCTAAACTATTCTACAATTTTTACAACAATAACATCAAGCCTTTATCTCACTACGTGGGGTCGGCTACATTAATTCTTTTTCTCCATTGTGTCCTATTAAGAATCAAATTCTCATTTAAATCTAATAAAAAAAGTCATTTCTAATATTTTGGGCAATGGAGCATACCAGTTTCCCCAGTAGAGCAGTATTTGAAAGAAAGAGCCATGATGTTAATTGAGTTGAAAAGACACCTGTTGAGGGCGAAAACATATTATAAAGAAGCATACGGATGAGCATAGGAAAGATATCCAGTTTCAGATAGGAGAAAGGGTATACTTGAAACTATGCCCCTACAGACAAACGACGGCAGCTCACAAGAGGAATAAAAAGATGGCCCCGAGGTATTTCGGCCCTTATGAGATAGTAGAGAGGATTGGAGTCGTGGCTTATCGACTGAAGTGTTAGACCAATCCTCTTTGGACCGGCTGGGGCTCAGTTCATCTACAGGCGACGGGAACGGGCAGAAACAGAGGGGAAGCCGGCGGAAGATTGAGGAGAATTTTGGGTGGGGTCCACTTGTTTTTGAATTTGTATCTTGGAGCCAAAAGGTGTGGGAGAAAGGGCAATTAGGTCCTTTTATGTTATTTTTGAATGGTATGCATTAAGTAGGGAGAAAAGGAGAGATTAGGGAGGGGGGATATTTTTGTAAGAGTTTTCTGGTTCTTCTTTGGTGTTTAGGGCTCTAGATCGAATTCTAGAGATTGGGAGAGTGCGATCCTCCTCTCGAATAGAGGATCCTTGTATCTTTGCTATTTTCCTTGCATCTACTAGTAAAATACAAGTCTTTTCTCCAAGTTTCCTGCAGTTTTTCCCTGTTTTTCTTCAGTTTTGGGCTGTTCCTGCTGTGGACAGCAGTTTGTCTTGAGAGTTGTGGTAAAAGTGAATAGGAAATACTTGAAATCAAGTATTTCCTATCAAATTGGTATCAGAGCAAGTCTTGGGACAAATCGTGGCTGTTTTTGTCCGATTTCAGCGGCTGAAATTGCACCGGCGAAGGAGAAAATTGCTGAAATTTTTTTTTCAAAACCTGAGATATTCTCATAATTTGCAAGCCGTAGGAGATGGCGGCTAAGAAGGTGGATGCTTTGGAGGAGAGAATTGAAGGAGAAATAAATCAAATCAAGGAGACCGTGGAGGAACGAATGTCTTCCATGGAGGGGCAAGTGGCCGATCTACGGGATATGATGAAAAAGATGTTGGAGTTTCAAACCCAATCGGCGGCGTCTGATGCAAAAGGGCCAGCAGCGAAGAACACCAACTCTGAAATCCATCGGGAGGAAGAGGAGGTGGAAATCGTGGAAGGGAGTAGGGGAAGACCTCATCTGGAGCCTTTCCAGAGA